TGTAGTGCTAATGAGGCCAATGCAATCAAGGTGGCCCATGTAAATCACCAGTATGTTTCATAAGGCATCTTACACATAATAGTGAATTATTTGGAATGGAGCAGCTTGACAGCACGAGAGGCAGAAGACTCATCAAAGTTGTTATACCTTGTATTTGGGCATATTTGGGTAGAAAGCCTATATGAAACCACTTCAAACACATCAGATTCACTAAAGTGAACTAGAGATACATTTTTAACAGGTATAATGAAACCTTCTTATGGTGAAGCAATTTCTCCCCTTCCCGCCCTCACCCCAGAATTTCAATTTAAGGAGCATGGAATTCCTCTCCAGAAAGAGATGGGGCTGCAGAGTGAATATCCAGGCTATGAGCTGCCTCTCATTCTGGTCCCCCTGGCCAGGAGAGAGAGAGTGTGCTGGCCCGTAAGTTATAGGACTTTGCTGATGCTTAAAGCCAGCCCCGGCGAAGGGTCACTGCCACTCTAACTGCAATTTGTATAATTTTTCAAAACACTGAACAATTTGGAAACTTTAAAGGCCAGACAGGACTATTATGATTGTCTACTCTGACATCTCACACAACACAGGCTACAGAATTTCAATCAGTTTTGCATCACTATAGATTTACTAGATACAATTTAATTTTAAGCAGGTTCCACTGTATTTCTAAAAACATTTTAGGCATTTGTTTAATATAGTGAAACTTGTCTGAATCAACCATTCAAGGGACTGATAAATCCTTAACTTATTGGAGATAATTTTCTATTATAGGTGCAGAAGAGTTGTCCTCAGGGTACCAGTGAATATTCTGGGGTAGTCTCTTGATTGAATATTCTCATAAAGGTGGTCTCTTGTATAGGTGTTACTACAGAACAATTCTCAAATATTTTCATAGTGTGGACCACTTATTAAGATAGAGCCCCTCTGTTGCACACCTCCTCTCCCAACCACCCAATTCCAAACAGTCCCTGTAAAATTTAGAGACTGATGTAATGAAAACAATGTTAGTATAGTATTAATGAGACAGGATGGAAAAACTCCCTTTAATGAATGGAAACAGTTGCTGAGTTACATTTCCCACCCCCCACTCTATATTTGGGCTGCTTATTTCCTCTATCTGGATGTAGGACTTCACTTTTATTGGGACCAGTCACCTTTTGTTGGTTACAGCTCCCATGACTCTAATCTCCATAGCTGACTGTAATCTGCTTCGGTTTTCCTGTATATCTATTATCCCTGCAATTGAGGGTAATCTGCAATATGATCAGAGATCAATAGTAAGAGAAATCAAGAAGTCATATTTTCCTTGAAAAGCAAGGATACTCTAACTGGTGGAAGATGCAACATTCCTGTTAGGATTTAGGGATACAAGGGTCTGTGCAAAATACAGATTTTTATGGAATAAACACAAGCAAAATGCACTAAGAGCCAAGACATCCCCCTGCTTTACAATCAAAAGCAAGTACCAATCTTTGAATCCAAGGATCTCCTGTTACTTCATATTTAAGGGGAGAAGCTGCCATATCGCTGTTATCATGATACTTTCAGACAACACCCACCCACACACACTTTCTGAATACCATTTCTTTCTGTGTGTCATATTTGACAAACTGTTTATTGCCCTCTAAAAAAAAAGGTGTTGCCAACTTTCCCAGATGATAAAAAAAAGTGATTGGTCCAAGCTGAACTGATATTAATGCAACTACTGATTCAACCCACTAGAGCAGAGGCAGATTATTTACATATATTTTATTTGCTGCAGGAAAACTGTTGCAAAGGCAGCAATAATTAGCAATTAAAATGTCTTCTTTTTTTCCTGACAATTCAGATGCCAAAAATATTATGAAAGGGAATGGAAGGAGGAGGATGGGGCCTTTTCTCAGCAAGTTACTAAGGACAGAGATACCAAGTTTTCCTTTTTCTCTCAAGACTATGTGGCATTTATTTTCAAGTGTGATCAAGTTTTTCCTCCTCCTTTCAGCAGGAGTGTGTAAAGAACAGAAACAGGAGTTTAGAGTCAACATGCAGTTACACTGCTATTTTCTATCTTCACTTTGGTGTCCTAGACCACAACTGGTAGCTAATATAATTCCAGACAGTAAGAACCTTAAACTATTCCTTAATCAGCGGGAATGAGACACTATTACTATGGATTCCATTCTGCCACTCCCTCAAGTGCACTGGACCTGAAGCATTCCTACAACATGAATTATAACAATGCTTTAACAAATGGTCCATTTCCCTTATTAATGCTTTAGATACAAGAAAGAAGATACACTTTGGAACTGATGCTGCAGAGTTCATTTATACATATTTCTGAAGGTCAACACACCTTTCAGAATTACTCAGTTAAGAAACTGCACTTTACAGAAGTTAAAAGATATAATAGCAAGGTAAGCTTATTATAAAGGTGAAATACAAAGGTACAATAAAGGTTGAGTTTATCTCATGTGTAAATCCTGCCAAAAGCCAGGTTTGGGGGGGAGGGGGAGAAGGAGCTAGCCAAAAATATTTTAATTTAACATTTTTAAGTTCTTTCCTCAGCATCCTCTAATCCTGTCACTTTCTTGTTCACTGAAGACAGTTCTGAAAGCATCATTCTGTGACATCACGGGTACCAGAAATCTTATTGCAATGATGCATTCAGGGACATCTTCACAAACCAGAAGTGACATGCACATTTCAAAGCGAAAACAATTATGGCTTAGCTAAAATTTATGTCTTAATGTCCCCTTCAGCATGCTTCGTGGAGGTAATGAGTACACACGTTTGGGTTTAGTTAGCTTTGCAATTTAAATTTTGTGTTATGGTCCTTAGCAAAGTACACAGTAAAAGTCCCCCATGTTCTGCAGGAACTTCCTCATCAAAATCTTATGGTGCACTGAATATCTGTTGGCTCACATAAAGACAAAATGCTTTGTAAAAGATCTATATAATAGTTTTAAACGGAAGCACTTTGCAACCCTTCAAAACACATTTCTTGTTGAGCACAGGCTGAGATGCAATTGCAAATGCCCTGCTACTTAAGCTATACAAGCATGATGAAGAAAAGGAAAGGCTGTAAACACAAGCAAATCCAAAACCACTAGCCCAGCCCAGCCCACTCAAGGTTTAGCATAGATAGAAACATGGGGGGAGGGATAGCTCAGTGGTTTGAGCATTGGCCTGCTAAACCCAGGATTATGAGCTCAATCCTTGAGGGGGCCATTTAGGGATCTGGGGCAAAAATCTGTCTGGGGATTGGTCCTGCTTTGAGCAGGGGGTTGGACTAGATCAGGGGTCCCCAATGCCGTGCCCGCGGGCACCATGGTGGGCACTGGACAACTAGCCGCCAAGGAGTGTGGCCACCAGACAAGCAGCTGCTGAAATGCCGATTTTCAACAGCATTTCGGCGGCAACACTTCTTGGCGGCACTTTGGCAGCTGCGTGTCCAGCGGCCACGCTCCTTAGCGGCTAATCGGCCAGCACCCACCACACGGAAAGGTTGGGGACCACTGGACTAGATGATCTCCTGAGGTCCCTTCCAACCCTGATATTCTATGATTCTATGACTGTGTCAGCTAAAAGTTTGCATGGTGCAGTAGGGAACACATACACAGATGTAATGCACAAAGGTCTTTGCTATATGTTTTGTTCACAAACATGATTTACAATACTTGTTGCACCACCAGTATACACTAATGCAAAAAATCAGTTTTCACATGTGATCCCTCTGCCTACATCAGGACATACAAGTATTGCTCCTTGAAGGTTCTACGGTTACCCAGGTGAAGAACTGGAGTCTTCTAGGTAGCTCCTGATCCACCATGGTGTTCGAGTTATTTTAAATATGCATTACCCACATAGTGAAAATCCAAGGACTCAGCTAGGGACTGGGTACACATCACTAAGGCTGGGTCTACACTACCCGCCTGAATCGGCGGGTAGAAATCGACCTCTCGGGGATCGATTTATTGCATCCCGTTGGGAAGCGACAATCGATCCCCGAATCGACGCTCTTACTCCACCAGCGGAGGTGGGAGTAAGCGCCGTCGACAGGAAGCCGCAGAGGTCGATTTTGCCGCCGTCCCTACAGCGGGGTAAGTCGGCTGCGATACGTCAAATTCAGCTACGCGAATTTGCGTATCTTAAATCGACCCCCCCCTGTAGTGTAGATGTAGCCTAAGAAAACTAACCCAATGCAGGTGCAGACAGCATGGGGACTTTCTGATGCACACACCATAATATAAAAACAGCCCCCAGGACTGTAAATAATATGAGGAAACAGTTGCTAAATATTAAGTGGGGGTACATGGGAGGAAAGGGAAAGATACAGCAGGTCATTACAGGAGGGGTTACGAGCAGTGGGGGAATTCAGTACATCAAGTGTCTCAGGGAGGGAATTCTGCAGCATGCTGGAAGAGGGCTCATCCGGTGTGAGGTATTTCACGGATAGACTCATAGGCTGATGAGGTGTTTTATTAGAGCAGAGAGGCAGGAGGAGGAAATGAGGTGTCTCAACTTGGGGGGGGGCTCACGAGGATGAGGTAGCGAGAGATGAGATATTACTGGGGGGGCGGAAGAGGCGTCTCACAGATGAAGTGTCTCTCTGGGAGGGCTCATAAGGGAATGGGGGGTCTCACTGGGGCCGTGACTGAGGAGGGGAGAACGAGGGGTCTCGAACGGGGGGGGGGGGGGGGCAACAAAGCATGTCACTGGGAGGGCTCATGGAGGGGCCCGTCCCTGGGTTGGGGGCGGGGTGTCTCCCTGCGCTGGGGGATACGGGGTGTCTCCCTGGGGCAGTGAGTGCGGAGGGAAAGGCGCCGCAGACAGCGAGCAGGGACCCGGTCTCGGGGGGGGGGGGCGGGACGCAGAATCATCCGCGGCGCTAACAGGCGGGGGGCGGGGAGCGGGCCCCAGTGTCTCCGAGGAGGGCGGATCCCTCCCCCCTACATGGAGGGACCCTGCAGCGAAGGGGGGGGGGGTCTCGGTTCTCTCAGAGGCCCGAACCTCACACTCACCTGGTCACGGCTCCATCCCGGCTTCAGCATCGCCTCGTCCCCTTCCGGAGCCGCCCCCCTCGCCGTCGCCGCCCCCCGAGAATAAACTTCCCCGAACTGGTGGTAACCCTGCCTCGCCGCCGCCGGCTCCTCAGCCACGGAAACTGTCCCGCCCCACCCGCGCCTAGGCTAATGATTGACGGCTCCTGTTGCCAATCGGCATGCGCAGAGGTAGTTGAGTGTCACGAACGCCAACCAGTGACTGTCGAGCGGCCTGGGAAGCTAACGGACATGAATGGGAAGGGCAAGAGGGGATGGGGCGGAACTACTTGTGACTGGCTTACAACGCAGCCAATTAGAAGATAGAATTCATGTCCTCGACAGTTGACGAGGTTAGAGTGTTTAGCCCTCTGGGGAACGGAGATGTCTGGACTCTTAAAGGGATAGTACCCAGTGGGCCTCAAACTTCCCTCGAACTCCCTCAGTGTGTGCATGGGAGGCAGGGCACCGTCCGTGGGCGGGCTTACCAAAGGGAGGGCGGCACGATCAGTGCGGCAATGGAAATCGCGTTTCACCGACACTGTGCCCCACCCCCACACTGCAGGCCCAAAAAAGAGACGTCCCAAAATACTGGGTCAGCAACTTAGTATAAGTCTGTGCGGGGAGCCCGGGACGGGGACAGCAGGGGAGCTGCGGGGCAAGAGCGAGGGGCACTGGCAGGGCTGGGCAGGGAGCCCAGGACGGGGACAGCAGGGGAGCTGCGGGGCAGGGTGAGGATCCAGCTTTCCACCATTCTGTAGAAAGCATTTTTTCAGCTGTCAAGTTTAGACTTGGCAAAATTCAAATTATTTTTAATAATTTCTATTTAAAATATCAATTTTATTTGTAAGCTTTTTTATTTTTATCCATTTAAATTTTCACAGTTGCAGGAATTTACGGGAGGGGGTCAGATAATAATTATTTAATTACAGTAGAAATTGAGATTCAAAAAGCTAAAGCTTTATAACCTAACACACAAGTTGTCAACATCATGTCAAAATATACAAAATAAATACAGATGCTCTCCGGGTTACGCAAACCCTACTTACGCAAATCCGCACTTACAGAAAAAGTTCCGTACGTTCCGTAAACTAGATTTTTTTTATTTTTATTTATTTATTTTTGCGTAATGGTCGGGTATATGTTCCCGATTTACACAAAATTTGAGTTACGCAAGGCGTTCCGCAACGAAATGCTTGCATAAGTCAGTGAGCGACTGTAGCCTTAAATCAAACTCTGCTAAATTCAAAAGCGATGTTTTTCTTCTTTGCCTATGAGTAAATTACAATCATCATCTGTGGAAATACTGTTTCATTATTTGTTGTGTTTGGTGAAATCGACATTTACCAATAAAAATGGAATCTTTCCAAACCTAACCATATTTTATTGCAGACAGTCTATGACCTCTAGTGGTTAAAATTTACAACTCTGTCTCAGATTCAGCTACCCAGAAAAAAGAATGAGGAGTTCTTGTGGCACCTTAGAGACTAACAAATTTATTTGAGCATAAGCTTTGTTGCAAGGATAGGTTCCTAGGTTAGTGTTTTTGTTGTGTGGTGTGTGGTTGCTGGTGAGTATTTGCTTCAGGTTGGGGGGCTGTCTGTAAGCGAGGACTGGCCTGTCTCCCAAGATCTGTGAGAGTGAGGGATCGTCCTTCAGGATAGGTTGTAGATCCTTGATGATGCGCTGGGGAGGTTTTAGTTGGGGGCTGAAGGTGACGGCTAGTTGCGTTTTGTTACTTTCTTTGTTGGGCCTGTCCTGTAGTAGGTGACTTCTGGGTACTCTTCTGGCTCTGTCAATCTGTTTCTTCACTTCAGCAGGTGGGTATTGTAGTTGTAAGAATGCTTGATAGAGATCTTGTAGGTGTTTGTCTCTGTTTGAGGGGTTGGAGTAAATGCGGTTGAATCTTAGAGCTTGGCTGTAGACAATGGATCGTGTGGTGTGGTCTGGATGAAAGCTGGAGGCATGTAGGTAAGTATAGCGGTCAGTAGGTTTCTGGTATAGGGTGATGTTTATGTGACCATCGCTTATTAGCACTGTAGTGTCCAGGAAGTGGATCTCTTGTGTGGACTAGTTCAGGCTGAGGTTGATTGTGGGATGGAGATTGTTGAAATCATGGTGGAATTCTCAAGGGCTTCTTTTCCATGGGTCCAGATGATGAAGATGTCATCAATGTAGCGCAAGTAGAGTCCTCGCCTACAGACAGCCCCCCAACCGGAAGCAAATACTCACCAGCAACCACACACCACCCAACAAAAAAACTAACCCAGGAACCTATCCTTGCAACAAAGCCCGTTGCCAACTCTGTCCACATATCTATTTAAGGGACACCATCATAGTACCTAATCACATCAGCCACACTATCAGAGGCTCGTTCACCTGCACATCTACCAATGTGATATATGCCGTTGTGTGCCAGCAATGCCCCTCTGTCATGTACATTGGCCAAACCAGACAGTCTCTACGCAAAAGAATAAATGGACACAAATCAGACGTCAAGAATTATAACATTCAAAAACCAGTTGGAGAAAACTTCAACCTCCCTGGTCACTCGATTACAGACCTCAAAGTCGCAATACTCCAACAAAAAACATTAAAAAACAGTCTCCAACGAGAAACTGCAGAATTGGAATTAATTTGCAAACTGGACACCATTAAATTAGGCTTGAATAAAGACTGGGAGTGGATGGGTCATTACACAAAGTCAAACCTATTTCCCCAGGCTAATTTTTTCCCCTACTGTTACTCACACCTTCTTGTCAACTGTTGGAAACGGGCCATCCTGATTATCACTACAAAGTTTTTTTTCTCCTGCTGATAGCCTACCTTAACTGATTACTCTCGTTATAGTTAGTATGGCAACACCCATTTTTTCATGTCCTCTGTGTATATATTTTTTCCTACTGTATTTTCCACTGCATGCATCCGATGAAGTGGGTTTTAGCCCACGAAAGCTTATGCTCAAATAAATTTGTTAGTCTCTAAGGTGCCACAAGTACTCCTTGTTCTTTTTGCTGATACAGACTAACACAGCTACCACTCTGAAACCAGCTACCAAGAAAGGAGACCTAAAGCATAATGAGTTGCTGAGACAAAGGGTATGTTTGCCCTGTAAACTTCAGATGACAGAACAAGAAGCAATAGTCTCAAGTTGCGGGGGGCGGGAGTGGGGGAGGCCTAGGTTGGATATTAAGAAACACTATTTCACTAGGAGGGTGGTGAAGCACTGGAATGGGTTACCTAGGGAGATTGTGGATCCATCCTTAGAAGTTTTTAAGGCCCGGCTTGACAAAGCCCTGGCTGGGATGATTTAGTTGGGATTGGTCCTGCTTTGAGCAGGGGATTGGACTAGATGCCTCCTGAGGTCTATTCCAACCCTAATATTCTATGATTCTAATGCAGAGTAACAGCATTTTACTTTAGTAAGAGTCATTTGAACTACTTATACCTATTACTGGATTCTAAATTAACTAAAGAACCTGGCAAGGGTGAAAGTAAATTACAGGACTTACCGGTACTGCCAGAGCCCAGAGGCGTGGCCTCATCGGGAAGAGGCATGGCTGGGAGCCGCGGAGCTCCGGGCCCTTTAAATCCCCCCCGCAGCTCCGGTAGCTGGGCTGGGGCCAGGATTTAAAGGGCCGCCGGTGCGGGGAGCTCTGAGCCCTTTAAATCCCGGCCCCAGCCCGGCCACCAGAGCTGCGGGCGGGATTTAAAGGGCTCTGGACTCCCCGCAGTGGCAGGGAGCTCCAAGCCCTTTAAATCCCGGCCCCAGCCCGGGCGCCGAGCTGCAGGCAGGATTTAAAGGGCTCTGGGCTCCCCGCCGCGGAAGCCGGTGCAGTCCGGCATGGCGTACTGGCTCTTGCCGGTATGCTGGACCGGACCAGACCGGCTTATTTTCACCTCTGGAACCTGGACATCATTATGGACAGCTCAAGGAAAACTTCTGCTCAGTGTGAAGTGGTGGTCAAGAAATCAAACAAAATGCTATGATGCATAAAGAATGGGATAGACTATAATACAGGGAATATTATAAAACCATTATACAAATAATTGGGACATCTGGAATACTGTGTTCAGTTCTGGTCATCCTATCTCAAAAAAGATATTTCAGAGGCAGAGTTGGGGTCCAGAAACTAGGAATGCAAATGCTTATTTTCATGGAATATCTTTCATATGATGAGACACTGAAAAGTATTGGGACTGTTTATCTGAGAGATTAAACAAATAAAATGGGATATGAAGTGGGTATAAAATAATGAATGGTATAAAGAAGGTAAATTGGGCATTCCTATTTACCTTCTCATAATACAGGAATGAGGGGACACTATACAAATGAAAGGTAACAAATATACAAATGATAGAAGAAAACATTTACACAATGCAAAATTAACCCATGGAGCTCATTGAAATTAATATAATAATAAAAAAGTGGGAGTATTCACAAGAATTGTAGCCTGATGCTACACAAACTTTACCTTACCCGAAGCCCAATCCTGACGCACCCAATTTCTTTGCTGAGGATCCAGTTCATGTTTAGCTATGTAAATAATCCTGACAAAGTAATTCCAGTCTTGAATCCTGTAACAAGGTTAGCTCCCTCAGTTAATTTAGTGAAAGGAGAAAAGTTTAATGGGTTGAAATATACCCAAGGATGAAAGTATTCTCAGGGAGTTTAAGGTTTAATGACAGGTTAGGAATAATACTTACTTTCCTGTCTTCCCATCTATTCTAAAAATTACACTGGGGCACTCAGAGCAGAGTTTCCAAGAGGAGGGAAGGTGATGATGTCCTGTTTTCCTTCATCTCATCATATAGTGATAATACTCTTTCTGTTCCACTAGTATCTCTGGGGGATGTTAAACAGATGCTATTAAAATTAGATATTTTAAAATCAGCAATTCCCGATAACTTGCATCCAACAGTCTTAAAAGAGCTGGCTGAAGAACTCACTGTATCATTAATGTTGATTTTCAATAAGTCTTGGAGCACTGGGAAAATTCCAGAAGACTGGAAGAAAATTATGTTGTGCCAATTTTTAAAAAGGGTAAATGGGATGACCCAGGTAATTATAGGCCTGTCAGCCTGACATAGATCCTCGGCAAGATAATGGAGCAGCTGATACGGGACTCAATTAATGAAG